TATGGTACATTGAGCTATAGTACACTGAGCTATTAGTCACGACCACTAGTAAGCCAGTCGGACCATTAGATGCTGTTACCAGTTTTAGAAGAAAAAAGTAAGAATTTAACAATAGTAACAACATTAACCTATATTATGTTATATAATGTCAACATATCATAGTCATAAGTTTTTGAAATACAATGAATATAGAGACCACTGGTAAAAATGGAAAATATATGGTCTATCCTTCTTATCTTTGTACAATCAAGCTCATAATAATAAACTTTCTTAACGAAAATCTTTTTATTTACTTTATAAGATGGTGCTCTACTTTTTGTGTGCACTGTCATAGTTTAAGTACCAAATGAAAGGGTGCACTGGGAAGATTACGATAAATCAACGTATTAATAAATAAATAATAAACCACATCATATACATTGCTTTTATTCCAAGATTTGTAGCTTAAGCCTACGTATTATGGAGTATCTGACACAATGAAACCACAACACTTAGGTCCGAGACAATATAGAAAAGTCAATTTTCTACATCGACCCCACCGGGAATAGAATATGCATCCTCAGAAATGGTGACACCTTGAAATCTGCGAACTATTCGCTTACAGTGCTCGTACTTATTTATAATGAAGTGACGAAATTTGGCGAATACCTAATGTTTTCCAACTACGCTCTAAGTCTAGTTGCGTTCATTACACATTCTTATACATTTATGACACAGTGGTCTCAATTAAGCCCTCGTGTCAGTTGCGGCCGCCGGTCCTGTAACGGATGGGTCCCATGGGCACAACTCTATTTGCGTAGGGTACCCACTAACTTTGTTTCACAACTGACATACACGTTAATATACTAGATTTTATATTTATATAATCGCAGTCACAGCTGGGTTGGTTAAAATTTTAATAATTGGAACGTGGCCTAACACTGGAAAATAATCTTTCCGATAAATAAAAAAGGAGAAATTTATTAATTGGTCGAAAAAATAATATATGGATAATGATATACTTTAATACTAAAGAGTTCGTTAGCTGAATTCATATTCGAGTTTTTTCTCTCTTCTTTTTTTACTTAATATCAGAGATGAGAACTTATGATATACCTGTTCTACGAAGGTCGGTTGGCCGATTTTTAGCGATACCTGCAGTTTCTCTACTGAAAAAAAAAATACTTTGTAAATATATCCTATTATCGATATTGAAGCGAAGGAAAAGAAGGTTCACTGATTAAAAACTTATTCTGTAAATGCGGTTGTTTTATATAAACTGTTTAAAAATTCTATTCAGACAACTCATGAGCTATTTTTTTTAATATATACTTACTTCTCCTCTCCTCACATCTAATGAACACTTATGCAATACTAGCTGTGCCCGCGACTTCGTCTGCGTGGGAAAATATATCAGAATTATTTCTTTCAAATGAAGTAGGATCAATGGTCCATACGGTTTAACTTGCATTCCGAAACTGACCAAAAATTTTGAGGTCATCTTAAGCCGTTGGTCCCAGTGGTGATGGGTGCCCAAAAATTATTAAACAAAACCCGGGGCCCACTGCATGGGGATGTAAAAGAGCAGATGATGATAAACAATACATCAGAGACTAAAATTTAACAAAGCAATCAATTTCATAGTTTCTTTGGCGAATACAGTATTTCTGGTATAACTATTTATTTATGAACCGATTGAAATAATTACACTAAATGTTAACGGAAGGTGGTCACAATACAATATTGAAAACCGCATTAAAATTGGTTCAGCCGTTTTTGGGATAAGCGTGTACAAACGCACAGACAAAATAAAATCATTGTTTTGTGTTCTATCACGTTTATAAATGCGCTTCATAATAGGTTTTTTCTTTTCATATATCTTTAATATGCAGACATCGATGAGTTACGTTTTTATTATATACTATAGTTTTATTTCGCGTTTTTATTATGTAGATGGAAGATAACTTTGAGCTTTTTAATTGCATTCGGATTAAATTAATTGAAAATTATTTGTAAAACAGCACAACGATCCTAGATGAAAATTATTACATCGTATAATTGCTATCGGTATTCATTCTAAAGACACAAAATTTATAGAGCTGCCATTTCTATTAATTCATTTGTGTTTTTTGTGTGTTATTATTACTAGATCATATTCTCCTGATATCCACGTCTGATGTTAATAAATATTAAAATGTTATAAAACAACTTAGACTCATTATGCCAACCTTCTATTTTTAGTAAACTTTTTAGTGAACTTTGGAAAAGGCTAGCTAATTGCACAAGTAGTGCTGTCACTATTATTACTCTGTAGTTACAGATGCTATGCTTTAAAGAACTGTAAATTGCTTTCAATCAACAGATTTTCAAAACTTATAAGATGCGGTTTGATTTAATCATTAAGTTTTCTCAACATGTAATATAAATGATTGATGAAATACTAGCTCTCCGCCTGCCAGCTACGCCCGCGTCTATAAACACATATAAAACTTCATCTTAAATCAGTGTGTATATAGATGAAAACCGCATTAAAATACGTAATGTAGTTAAAAACATGTCAGCGAACAGACGACAGCGTGTAGCGACTTTGTTTTGTACTGTGTACAGATTATAAATTGCAGTAGTTTATCTCTAATTAAATTCAAGTCATGTGTTGTAGATTATTGTCGATCCTGTGACCTGTGATAATTATTGCATCTCTCGTTCTTACTAGCTATTAGGTATAGAATAATAATATAAAATATATGATAGATACAAAAGATAAATGCGTTTCGCTCTCATATCATAGTTATTCAAAAGAATTTAGATGTTGTAAATATATATCTTGAATACTCATTTTGTTAAGAGGACCACAGATTTAATATGAGAACAATACATGAACATTCATGGTCATTGGCATTATTTTTGAATTATATAAAGTTTAAAGAATTAATGCCCTGCTTTATTTGGAACGACCAGCAAATCCCGAATAGGAGCCGCTTCGGCGTTATAGAACCAATTTTTTTATATCAATTGGCATATCTGTTGGCGTATGACTCTATGGTTAATTTGACAAATCCTCACATCCCACTTCGTACCGCTGCACATCTCATTACGTTAATGCGATGTTATGACATTTAATTTTAATCTTAATTTGTTATTGGTGCAGTTTGAAATGATAATGTTTTTGGTAAACCATTATTAGTCTCTTCTACCACTACCTCGTGTGTTCATAAGTTTTGAGACGAGATAAAAGTTGTGTAATTTTTTAAATTACTAACTTATATTTCTAAGATTTTCAGCGACTATTAAATAGATAATAATGAACAATATAACACACGAGGATAAAATTATAAACATCACGAAGTATAAATGACCAATCACGCGCCTTTACTGTTTATTTATTTAAATGCAACCAACAATATTAAGTTTACAATAAGTACTAAATCAATTTGAAAATTTGAATTGGTGGGCAAGCGCCACATATACATTAGTGGTCTCTATGACGAATCTCTATCTATCAACATTCCAGAATCTTTCGCGGGAGCGTCCAAAGAGTTTTCAAAATTCCTGACTTTCAAAGATTCTGCAAATTGACTTTCCATAATTAAGTTAATATTAGCAGATTTGTCCCACAAGTGGATGAAGTGTTAAAGTAAAGTATCTTTCCGTTTTAATAAAGACAGATATCCTTAATTATCTGTACAGCTACATTAATTTACGTACCTGAAAACAAAACAACTATAGTTGCTGTTAGTTCATTTAGTACAAGGAACCATTACATATATAAATAATAGGAAATCCTTTAAAAAAGTCATGTTTTTTTATTTTTATTTGTACGGGCTCCGTTGTTGCGTGAGTCCGACTCACACTTGATAAGTATTTCTCGATGACTCAAATCCCGTGCGAATCCAAGGAGGATTCCTAGTGAAAATAACCCACTGTTAATATTAATTGTATTTTATAAAACCTACTTTGAGTCGTTAAAATAAATTGTCTATTCACAATTTAAAAAGACACGTTTTAAAACATCTATCTGTCACTTGAAAACATTATTGCGATTGAATTAAATGTAAAAAAGTGCTCGAAGTGCTGTTGCCTAAAAAATATTACTCAGGGTGTGTTACCGAGATGAGGTCACGTTCCAATTGGTACGAGTAGAAATTATAATTTTATAGCACCGAATTTGCGTACGCGATCGCTCCCCGCGGTGTCAAGTTTCATCATTCGTCATTTTCACTCGTGTGTGACGCGAATTTTGAATGCTATCTAATAAAGTGAAATGGAAGGAGCGATAAAAACGACCAAGAAAATGCTTAGCTTCAATTTCTACTTTTCATTTAATCCTTTTTAGACTGACTGAGCATTGATAAGTACACTAGTCACTTTTGGTAAGCGCGTTCAGACTGCGATTGCGGAAGTAAGGCAACTGTCGCAATGGTCATTCAAGAGATGGGTGACTAAAAATATATAATCTCTTAAAATAATCTCTTAATTTTCATAAGCAATTACTAATACGCATTGAGCCCGCGATTGAATGCTCGAGCCACTGCGTCACCAAGCCCCCCCAAATCTATCTATATAGTATAATCAAAACGTAACTGATCGATGTCTGTACATTGAAGTTATATGAAAAAAACTGTTATGAAGGGCATTTATACACATAATAGAACTCAAAACAATGTTTTTTTTTTTAAATATTTGTCTGTTTTTCGATTTCTGGGTTTGTCTGTGCATTTGTGCATGCTTATCTCAGAAACAACTGAACCGATTTTAATGTGGTTTTCACTATTGTATTGTGGTAATATGTTCGTTAACATTTAGTGTAATTTTATTTAAATCAGTTAATAAATAAAAAAATGACATCAATTTGAAGTATTTTAAGTTTGTGTAAAATGCTATGAAATGAACTCTTAGCTCTTCTGAAGAAGTTTGGCGCATTTGCAGTTTTCCCATACATAAAAGACATCCACCCGTCATTCACCTTGTTATGAATGCCTGAGCCGTCAATTGACGGCGAAAGCATTAATATAGATCATGTAATGGGAACAAACCATGATCCATTTGACCTGATCGAAATTTTACAAGGTGACGTATCGAGACTTACTGAGGAACAGCGTCTAATATTTGATTGCGTGTGTCACAGTGAAGACAGTAATTTAGGAAAAATTCTGTTCATAGATGCACCCAGTGGAATGGGAAAAATGTTTCTCACCAAAGTTATTTTGGAAAAGGTAAGGAGCCACTAAACTTGCGCTTGCTGTTGCTTCATTGGGAATAGCAGCTACTATGTTGCCAGGAGGAAAAACTGCCCATACCATGTTTAAAATTCGTATCGACTTAGATCGCAAGGAGAGCCCTGTTTGCAATATTTCAAGAAACAGCGATAAAACTAAGATTGTATGTGATTGTAGTCTAGTTTAGTAAGGTTTTATATGGAATGAATGTACAATGGCAAACCGTAAAGCAGTTGAAGCAGTAAACAGAACGTTACGTGATATCAATCAAAATGATCAACCAATGAGTGGTATTACAGTTGTTTTTTGTGGTGACTCTTTGTTATACCACGTGAAACAAATGCTGATGAAATGAAAGCACCTCTGGAGAGTTCTAGACTGTGGCAACACATCATCCCTAAACATTTAACAATAAACATGTGAGCGGGAATCGGAGCCACCGAAAAGTGGAGGAATTTTCTGATTCACCATTTGAGATTAGTAACAGTTTATATTAGCACAAACAGGGTAAAGAAGTTTTACACGAAATCCTGTGTTGCGCAGTATTATAAGACCTCATATCATCTGTTTATGGAGATACAACTCAAATAGCAACTTCCGAAAATGCTTGGCTTTTCAAAAGAGCTATTTTAACTCCAAGAAATGTCCAGGCAGCAGCAATAAACTCTGAAATTCTGAGCCTGATTCCGGGGAATAACATAAAACATATCTTCATTAACAGAAGCACGGAAGAAGAATAAGCTACCAATTTCCCAGTGGAATTCCAGCTCATAAGATAAATATAAAAGTTGGTGTAGTAGTAGGTGCTAAGAAATCTATGACCACCAAAATAATGAAGATGATCACTTTTAGTGATCAAATTACAATAAAACGTGATAGAAGCAGAGATTTTAACAGGGTGTGGAGCAGGTGATAATGTTTGTATACCTTGGATCCCTATAATTCCAAACAAATTCCCTTTTAGTTTCAAACGAGTTCAGTTTCCTGTAAGCTTATTTTATGCAATCAAACGCTTCAAGTTGCGGGTGTAGATCTAACTATCAGCTGCTTTTCACGCGGTCAGCTTTATGTACCTCTATCATGTTTTAGCAACCCTAGAAAATTTATGTTTTAATCCCCGACAGTAGTAAGTCGAATGACTATTGCGCACCACAATTGACTGCCTGCCGTCCGTTGTATTACCCCACACTCCTGTATAGTCAAATTTATTAAATTACCAGTACTTATATCTCATAACTTCTACTTTCTATTTTAAATATAGATAGCGCTTTAGGCAATAATTTTAGGAATTAAACGGAAACGTAACAATGCAAAATAGTACTTTGACACAAAAACTTTATAATATAGGTAAAAGAATTAAGAACAGCGCAGGCTGTCTTCGAACAAACTTTAAATACGAGACAGCTTACTAATAGTGATGCGACAAATCATAATTTTACCGTTTTCTTCAAATTTACTTTCCTGTGCAGACGAAGTCGCGGACACGGCTAGTATAAGATAATTAAACTAATTTTCATATGCAATAGTAATGGTACAATCAAAAGCTAAAGCAATTTTCTTTTCCAGACGAGACCACATATTAAAACCTCGTTTGTTGGTCTTCATCTGACAGATCCAAGTCGAAAGAAACAATACAAAAACTATAATGTAATTGTGTCGTCCACACAAGCATCCAATTAAACTTTTTGCGGCACTCAGACGATTGGTATGTGTCCTGAAACAACATCGCACAAAAAGTAGAAGAAAAGAATCTGTCCAAAAGAAAAATTCATAAGTACCTAAGTGCTCCTTGTCAGCCCGAAGTAAATCTTAAAAAAAAGATTTGGATTACATCAAACTGTCACCAAAATGGAAGTTAATAAAAATAAAACGCGCAGTTTTATCTGCTTTGAACTTAAGAAAAATGAATTATTCTTATGGGTTTGGGACGATTAAATGGTTAACCCATTCTCTTCTTTAATATCTTGGGACGACGGAATTGGCTATTTTATTACCATAATTAAATTAAAAGGTGTAATTGTTGATAAGCTGTATATTTTTTTACTATACAATGATATGAAACAAGGTATGAAACTATAGGAAATATAAAATACTTCCTTGTACTAAAATCTTGTTAGAACTCACCTAAACTATTACGTAAAAATAAATTTCACAACTTAATTTAAAATACTGCTAAAAGACTAGCGCTGAATCGAAAGCTGACCGTTTTATTGTACAGACAGCAAGTAAGCAACTTTATAATATCATTTTGATACGTTCAAATTTTTTCCCTGCATACAACCGTTCTTGGTGTCCTGATATTTGCTGACGGCACTTTGAAACGAATGTGTTATTGTATTTGCTTCCCTTTTGAAGTTGTTTTCTGGAATGGATATTTCTTATTGGACATTTCATTTATTCTCGGGAGTTTTGCCAGTAAGATTATTTCTTTTTGTGTAGGTACTACTAAGACGGGGTTTTCTTGAAACGCAGAAAAAGGTAAGATTATTTATTTACTTATCCATAAGATATTATAAAGTTATATTAGAAAACAAACTTTTGGAAACTTCATATCTTAATAAAGCTGGCGCCACAATTAACTATGACGTCATTGGTAGCGGGATCTGCAAACGACATCGATGACGACGAAACTATCTATATCAACGACTAATGCCTTTAATTAATTAATTTAGGTAATTCATAAAAACAGATGTTATAAAAATAATGTTAAATTTATTACAGCGATAAAGCTGTCATCTATTTACAGGTACCTATACATACACTATATAACTTCAGATAACCTAATTATAAAATTCAGTATCAATTTTGTTTGTAATTTAGGATGTAATTAAGAAACTTTGTCATTAAAATCTGATAATAAATACAACAAATATATAACTCCGTGATGATCCACACGAAGATGTTATCGAAACTTGATGCAACACGAATATCATGACTAGACGGAACGAACGGATTACACCGAGAGGAGCATAGTGGTCCCAGAGCACACGACGGCGTGTGGACAGCACTGACTTTTATTATTAGGAGTTGCTTCAGTTTCTTCTTAAAGTATAATTTTTCTTGATGACTGACCCCGAATGTCCGGTTGATAGCCGGCAAAGCCGAACATACAACAATAATTTTTAATCTTGAAAACAGAAGATATAGACTATCTCGGTAGGAAAATAAATAAATAGATTATTCTTGGTCTAAAAGAATAAAAAAGTAAATAGATAATGGATATAAACTACAGATGAGTAAGTCATTCGACGCTGGTACGGCCGAACCGATTAGAATGTTGTCCTGTTTTAAACTTGGGTAGTCACAGGCATTCGGCACGATTTCCGAGTGTTGAATTTTCGACATTTCATATTGCGCAGAAGTCGTTATTTACTACGAGGTTTCAATTAATGTGCATAAACAAAGAACATATTACAAAAATCTTATCTTCTTAATTCGATATTGACGTGATTTGGAAGCAATCCATGAGTGGTCATAGCGAATAAGGGTCCAGATCCATCACGGACTAGGCCTTACACACTTCTCTCGCTCGCTACCTTCATATTTATAGCTTTAATAGATGCTCGCTAGTTTCTGTGGCTTCAGACATCACCTTCGAATAACACGCGTTGAATTTCATCGTGAAAGTCAAAAGTTTCTCCATCTTCAACTTTTAATTCGTGTATAAGACAAGATAATTTAACCTACATAAATACTAAATGCTAATAATATTATATGTTTTTTTGCAAACAGTACATAGTTACAGACCTGTGTAATTCAATTTTATCATAGTGATATTAAGTGCTGAAACACCTTTACAGCGAGACGTCTATGTATTTCTCACACGTACAACTATATACATTGAAGTTACTTAGTTTTTTTACTTAGAGTAAGTGCTGAGACGAGCTTCAAGTTGCAGGTAATAGATGGAAATGCTTGAGCTTTGTAAGATATCATCTGCAAAAATTGCGTTGAATAAATATTTTGCGCTCTTTTTTATTCTTATTCTTAGTAACCGTTATAAAGTTAATCTTGTGAACAAATAAACAAAATGTAAATAGATCGTTGCTTTTTATATCAAATAATTCATCATCATCGGCTCTTTTACATATTCACTGCAAGAATTTAGGCCTTCTTTATATATGGTTAAGGAGGATGGGCCATAACCATCCACGCTGGTCCAATGCAGATTGGAGGGGATAAAGGACTGCAAATGCAGCCGCGAATAACGAATTAACTTGGATTTCGAAACATGGACTCGAGATAGTAATATTAACGAGATTGTAGTCAGTTTAGAAAACTACAATTGAATTTATTTACTATTTATACTCGTATTACTATTGCAGCACGAAGCAATGGCTTAAAGTGCATTTCGAAGCATCGAATAGCTCAAGATGATATTCTTTTAGAAATTGTTTGACCTTTTCAATTTTGCTATACGAAGGCGCTAATAACCAAGCCATTATGCTTCTCTGACATTAATATGTTACAGTATACTGAAGAAAAAATATATACAATCAAATTACATAAAGCTTTCTTGAGTTTCACATTTCCAAAAAGAAATCGACTTTGCTCCATAATGAGTCGTGTCCTTTATTAAATGACTTAATGAATTACATAAAAAACCACCTTCGGTTTCCTTTACTAATTTTCTCATTTGTTACATCCTACTCTTAAAAATGCCTCTAAAGCTCCTTCAAACAGCATTAATTAATTTAATTAAGATCTGCTTTTCCTTACAGACAGTCTTCAGGGCCTTTCAGATAATTATAAGATAATAATATAATTGATTGCTTAGATTACCGAAACTTCATATATTATTTTGACACCGACGACAATATTAAAGAATAGAAAGCGTTTGTAAACACAATATGACGCATCTTAAAACTTCAAGATTTAATAATGTATAATTTGAAATAAATACCTACTGTGATTGGTAGCATTATAAATCTCTTTATTGATTTTTCAAGATGCCTCTTGCTGGAAATAAACGTAACAATTTGTGGTTTTAAAACGTTCTGTTGAACACTTGAACATCTGCGTAAACGCACTCTCTTTTGTACCAGCTGTTTCCAACTCAATCATCTGTAAAGCCTATTTTTACTGATCGATAATTGGATATACAGCATGCGAGACTCCCCGAACGCGAAATAACGACTAAAGAAGATCAACAGTGAATAAAATAATAATTATAAAGCTTGCGAGCATTCTCCTTGAGCAATAAAGTTGACCTTATTGTAGGAGTTACAAAGAGCTCTCGCACCCCGCATACGGACTCTACTGACTAGTGAAAATCACTCTTCAAGTGATTCATCCTATACAAATCTGTCAACCTCATTCGTTTTGGCTCAGTTACACAGGGTGACGGTATTCCTCTGCTAACCTCTGCGGGCTCATCACATTGGTCAATAAAAGCGAACCACAGAAATCACGCGCACCCCGCAGACGGATGTTATCGACTAGTGTAAATAAGCCATCGTGCGGTGTTTATGGAGCAATAAAGATCTGTTTTAAATGTACTCGCATCGTACCAGATGTTACCAATCATCCACTATAATTCAGTCAGTCTGATACCGATTCATTGAAAACTGAGTTTATTTTTTAATAATTAAATACATAAAGAGGATATTCAATTAATTCTTACATTTATTGAGTTGTTATTAAGATGTCACGTCTTTTTAAAAAGTTGAATACTAAAGTATCTATTCAATTTTTAAAACTCATTTTGCATCATTGTAACAAAGCTTTTATGAAGTTAAAATGTAAGTTATTATAAGAAACATAAGACTCTTCAACTAACAACCACAAACGGATTAAGATAAAGTTGTGTCACAAAAAGAATATTACGTTATAAGTACAGACACAATAAAATACACTTACGAAATAAAAATTGACGGAAACGAGATACAAGAACCAAAAGAGATAGCTTCAAAA